ATTTTTTTTTTTTGCCAATAAAAGCCTTTAAAACTTATATGCTTATTGTTTTTCAGTATACCATAGAAATATGTGGAAAAATAATCTACAAATACTGAAGCAGCGAACTTTGCAAAACACAAAATTTATGTCACTGCCAAAACTGTTGGCCATGACTGTAATAATGATCAGTTTTAATCTTATAAATAAAAAATATAATAAAAATAAAACATTTCTGTATCTTATCTATAGACTTAAAAGACTCCAAATGCAGCTTAAACACTGTTAATAAAACTATAATAGTATATCAATGACACTAAAATAAAAATAAATAAAAACATATATACATATGGAACTGTTTTCCAGTCTTTGTCTTTCTTCACAATTATTTAATTAATTATTAACATAACTATTACAGAACAAAATGCCATGCACAATGCAGTGTGACAGTAAACAGCAATTTTCAAGCTAAACTGTTTTGAAAGCCACTGAACTACGATCATAACTTTTAAAACAAAAAAAAAGTTAATTTGTTGCTATCACTATACTTTTGACTCCCTGAAACTAACTTACATTTACAGTTCAAGCTCAGTGCATTTCTCATGTTTTATGGAGCAGCAGGGTTTATAAGTGAACATCTGTGTGGAATGTACTAGTGGGTTGTAGAAGCCAAATGGCCACACTTTGGCACAAGCTTAAGAGTGTCAGCAGTGAAGTGCAAACAACCAGCGCTGCCATCCGCATTTGCTGCCTGTTTGCCAGCTGCAGACAGAGGAACCCTTAGAGAAATGCTAGAGGAAAAATTTGTCCTGCATTTAAGACCAAAGAAGTCGTTTTTATGAATGAAGAGGCCTTGAGACTTCTGGGAGATCGGAAGTCATGTTTACCCACAGGATACAGATGAAATTACACAGGAGATCCTAACTGACAGCATTTGGAGATCCAGCTCTCGGGAATTTTCTAACACCTTCCTGTTCCAATTTGTCTTTATTATACACTAATAATATTATCCTGAACTTTAAGGTCTTTACGGGTTACTAATGTAATGGTCTCTTCAAACAGACATATTATTGTCTGCTGTGCTGGGAGGGAATGAGTCTGTGTTTGCCGCTCACATGTGTGATTCATTTGCCACGCAAGAATATGGCAAACGTCCCACCGCAACAACACAGCCATATTGTACGGGTATGTTTGTATAATACATCAAAAGCAAAGGAGAAACACGTTCAGACAAATAATAAAACTGCTGTGAACAGAAAGTTACGCTTACTTATGCAGTACAAAAGTACTGTGCTGGTAACCTGTCACATTGATGGTATCAGGTGGTATTACCATGGTATTTTGATATGGTACTCTTGTAGAGAATGATTGTCAGATTTACCGTAGAAAAGTGGTTACCTGAAAGAGCCATTTTACCTGATTTAACCTATAAAATTAGTTTTGTTGGTATAAATTAATACATTTAAGTTGATTCAGTGATGCTAAATAACATTTTATTATTATGCAATTTACTAAACAATTTTCACTCAGAAATTACTAATAAATTTCACAAATAATTACAAAGCCACGGTAGGCAACACATTGAATTAAACATGACAGTTTGAAGTAGAAAGACTGAAATGTTTTCGTGTTAAAGCACAAAATATGTATCTATCTATCTATCTATCTATCTATCTATCTATTTTTGCCTGGTGGATGATAAAATGGAGGTAAAAATATAAAAAATATCAAAAAGTTAACGTTTTTGACTCTGACCTATGAATAATGACAGAGTATCTAACAAAAACACCCAAGCAACCACATATAAACACGCTAAAAACCATCAGAACATTTTAGTAACCATAAAGCAACGCACTGGCAACCACCAACAATGTGCATTTAAAAAAAAAATGTATAATAATATATATAAATGTACTTATTTACTGTTAGTGCATTAATAGAAGTGAATCATTCCTGTAACATTGCTCTGTCTTCTATAAATTCTCTAAAATATGCCTGCGGTAAAAAAAATTAAAAAAAAAAAACTTCTGACATTTAATTTAAAGTCTGAGTTGTTGTTGTTGCTGATAACTTAAGGTGTGTAATAAAAACAAATAAATAAACAAGTGAAAAACCTTTCAGCTCTTTCTCTTAACTCTGTGGCCGAATCTAAAGCTCTTGATCATATTTACAGCACTGGAAAAGAACAAACTCGCTGCTGTCTGACCTGTTGTCATCTTTCTAATATGCCATAAACAGTCGTGAAGATGCACGAGCACTTCCTTTGCATAAATTAGTTTGGATAAACCTCCTAAGAGTTCATTTCCGTTCAGAAATAGAGGTTGAGGAGAGATTATGTTGATAAACACACCCACGCACATTCACTTGCACTCTAATGAAAGGCTCATGGGTAATAATAACCGATGGTAATGTGCACAGAGAGAGATATGAGGTACATGTCCTCTGGAACTCCATGTTTGACAGTTTTATTGCTGTTAATGAAACGCATGGCATGGGAGTATTAAGCCGTCATCAAATTGACATCTTTAATTAAAGTGGCAGCTTAATTAAAAATCCAATTAACTGTGAAACTCTAATGAATAGAAAACTGCAAAACGCAAGACTTGACCTTCAAATCGGACTGCTCCAGATTTCAACACGCCGACAAAATGCTTCTTAAATGAAGTTGGAATCTGGAACTGCAATGTTGCCCTGAGACACAATAAGAGAGTTTGTGTGAGGTGGCTGATTTAATTAAAACCTGATATTTAATTGTTATGACTGACAGTGGTTAAGAACTGTCAACACATCAAAACTAAAAAATAAGATGCATGAAGCAACTGGCATTTTAAGACGTGACTGGGGCAGACTTTTAAAAAAACAAAAGTTCAAAATCCAAATGTCAGTGCAGTTCTTAAAGGAACAGATCAACAACAACAACAAAAATAAATAAAATGAAAATAACTAACTAAATAAATAAATCCCTTGCATTATTATAAAACATTATTATTAATAGCATTATTATTTATTACTAGGAGTGGCCAGAATATTTCATTAAAAATTCTTGTTTTACACAGAACAAAGCCATACAGGTTTGGAAGAATGAGGGTCAGTAAATTACAGTATTTTCATTTTTCCATGTTTTGTTCCTTTAAAGGGGTCATATGATGCGATTTCAATTTTTCCTTTCTCTTTGGAGTGTTACAAGCTCTTGGTGCATAAAGAAGATCTGTAAAGTTGCAAAGACTAAAGTCTCAAATCCAAAGAGATATTCTTTATAAAAGTTAAGAGTCAGCCACGCCTACCTAAAACGGCTCGTTCTAACACGCCCCCACATACCTACGTCACGATCTGGAAAGATTTGCATAACGCGCCAAAATGTTCACGCAAAGAAAGAAGGCATAACTTTTATTCTCGCTGCAGTATTGTTGCCGCCGCTGCCATGTCGTGAAGGCGCCGTGTGCTGCGTTGTGAAAGCGAAACTACTTTGTTTGGCCTTCCAAAAGAGGACGATATCGCTTTGTCATGCCTGGAGCTGATCCGTGCTGGTTGCTGAGGAAATACTTCAACTTCGCGCTGTGGATCGCCGGATCGGCTTTCACCGTGGACGAAGCGGAGTCCAGCCCGGGGTCGTCACATGTGGTTGCCGCAGGCATCACAATATGGTAAGGTACATAACATTTCCGTCACACGCTTAAGGAATTTGGCCAATCACAACGCACTGGATAGCTGGCCAGTCAGAGCACACCTCGCTTTTTCAGACCGATGAGCTTTGTAAAAATCGACGCGTTTCAAAAAGGCAGGGCATAGAGGAGAAACAATAATGTACAGTATGTTTGAACCTTAAACCGCATAATAACATTTCTGTCACACGCTTGAGGTATTCGGCCAATCATAACGCACTGGATAGCTGGCCAATCACAACACACCTCGCTTTTTTTGAATGATGAGCTTTGTAAAAATCGACGCGTTTCAGAAAGGCGGGGCATAGAGGAGAGTACAGTATGTACAGTATGTGGAAAATAATGAGTTTTTTTAACCTTAAACCGCATAAACACATTTCATTACACCAAATACACAAAATAATGTTATTTTTAGCAGCATCATATGACCCCTTTAATAATAATTATTCTTTAAACATCGTTGAACATTGCTTTTTATGATGACGAATAGCTGTAAAGCTTGTCAGAAAGCACTGCTCATATAGCTAATTTATGAGGGGACAGGCTTATTTGACAAAACTACATTTCCCATCATTCACAGCGGCAGCACAAGACTATTAAATACACAAATAAAGCATCAGTTACCTGATTACCTGAGCTTTTCTGCTTCATCTCATTGTACTAGCATTAAAAAACACTTTTTGTCTATGCTGGCAATTGAAAACGAAAGAAAGAAATATGAAATTGCCCAGTGTATCAAGCTGATTTGACTAGTCAAGTGACTAAAATCACTGGAACACACACCACATCATAAATATGAATTCTGAACTCATAAATAGGAACTTTCCAGGATGACAATGGAATCATTCCTTACATAACGGGATGTTAATAACTAGCATATTTTAAAATAAAAATGCATTCATTTGAATTAGAAGCTACCCAGTAGGCCTACTTGTTCAAGATGATGTGACTTTTTAAAAAAAAATAGGTTCCTTTACTGTAAAACCTTTTATTTTTTCTGTAATCCTTTCAAATGGTGCATTTATTCTTAATCTTATCTGCCTTCAATAAGAGCTGATCCACTTACAGGAAGGAAATGTTTCTGGGGGATATAAAAGCTGGAAAAAATTACAGAATCTCTCTCTCTCTCTCTCTCTCTCTCTCTCGTCATGCTCTGATTATCTCTCTCTTTTGTCGGGGCTGTTGAACACAGAGGGCTTTGGGAAACCAGTGACTAGAAAATGCCGGCGAGGACTGTGATCCCCCCGTCCACTGCTCTAATAATCGAACTAATGACCATGCTAATTATGAGAAAGCTGCTCTGGTGGATACTTCGCGAGCTGCTATCATTCTCACGCATCAGTGACCAGAAAGTAACACCTGCTATATTCATTCTCAAGCCAAGAGAACAGAGAGCTGATGCTATCTAAAAAATATTTGCTCTTTATTATTACGTGAAGATCTAGTCAGCTGAAGGATTATACTACTACGTCAACATTGTGTCATAATAATACAGACTACAGGAAGGAAATGCTTCTGGGGGATATAAAAGCTGGAAAAAATTACAGAATCTCTCTCTCTCTCTCTCTCTCTCTCTCTCGTCATGCTCTGATTATCTCTCTCTTTTGTCGGGGCTGTTGAACACAGAGGGCTTTGGGAAACCAGTGACTAGAAAATGCCGGCGAGGACTGTGAGTCCTCCACAGACAGTCACACCGTCCACTGCTCTAATAATCGAACTAATGACCATGCTAGGTCTATAATATTGAATATGAGCAGTGGGAACGGATGGGGAGGTGTATAGTTGGGTCTTCTGTCATATCGCGTTTATGCTGGCCAAGTGCCATTTTCCTTTCACTCTGCCCTTTAATCATAGCCGTAATGAACAGCCCCTGGGCTTCGACGATTGTAATGTGATGATACGATGGAAAATGGAAGACAGAGAATTGGCTGTATAAAAGGTGACAGACTGTGGTCACCCACCGTTTGGACTCTTATTATATTCGCTTTCTGCCTTGCTGTAATGCTAAAAGGTGAAGACATTTCAGTATTTGTGATTCACATGGGACAAATTGGTGTATTAAATGATTTTTTTTTTAGCAAACTAATAAAAAATCATGTCATTACATGCCAGCAAGCTGTGAATACAAAAATCAGCTCTTTTCCATGCAGTTCGGTCACTGGTGATCTGTCACAAAGGACAAAAAAGCATTTAAAAAGCATTCGATATGAATTGCAAGTCATATAATGAATACGTTGCTGTTCTCTGAAACTTGCTCTCTACTAATCAGTTATGGTGCATTTGTATCAGATCAAGTCAATAACATTTGGTTACAAAAATGTTGTTTGCAACACTAGTCAAACTTAGCACTGGTGGATCAACACATCATTTTTATAGTCTATCCCACACTCTCAGGAAAAAAAAGGTACAAAAGCTGTCACTGGGAAATTACCTTTTCAAAAGGAACACTTTTAGACCTTAGTCACCCTAATGGCTGAATATTAGTACCTTAAAGGGTTTGTGGCTAGAAGGGATACAGCTAAAACCGGAAGCTAACAATAAAAGTAATTTTCTATCTAAGATTGTGATTTATTAACATCTAAACCTACCCCTTACAATAATACAAAAGCATAATTATTGTTGTACAGTGTGACAAAAATTACACTATATTGATGTGCACATGCCCAGTAGACAAATCTGTATACCATCTAGCCTTAACCCCTTAAAGGTACATATTATTACCCAAAGTGTATATATTAGTATCTAAACCATAAGTACCTTTTGAAATAATAGCTCCCCCGGGACAGCTTTGTACCTTTTTTTTTTTTTACTAGAAAACATTCTCAGAATGTTCTGGCAAAATTATGAACAAACATTCTTCCAGCAGTATTCATGGAAAGTTTGTTTATAGTTATGGTCTTTAATAATGTCTTCAAAATGCCAGCACAAAAAAAAGAAAAAAAGTTATTTATACGTTATTCATGATTTCTCTCTCGCTCTCTCTCTGAAACTTTTAGTTGGAACATTCCCATAATGTTTACTAAATGATAAAATTAATAAAAAAAAAAAAAAAAAAAATAAAAGTTTCCATAACGTTTGAATAACCAAGAATTTGTTTTTATTTATTTATTTATAATATTATTAACTTTTTAAAACCTGGACTTTTTGAACATTAAGAGAACACTGTCAAATAACCTTTGCAGAACTTAATAGGAACGTTAGCTAAACGTATTATGGGTACATATTTTTGGTAGCTGCAATATGACTTTGTAGCCTAATTTGAGAACTTTGACAGAGGAGGATCAACCCAATCTCACGGAAAAATGTACAAACATACAAAAACGTACAAATTCATACAAAGAGTAGACCCCAAAATCATAAAACTCTTTTTAGATTATCAGTGAATGACTTTCAGATTGTTTGTCCCACAATGTTATTGTATGACATGAAATAAAGTGCTTATTCGTACATGACTGCTTATGTGGTACTTGGAAAAGAGCTGCACAGAATGTTTCCTTTCGTATTCCATAAAAGAAAGAAAGTCTTAGCATGACATGAGGGTGAGTAAATGATGGTAGAATATACATTTTTGTGTGAACGATCCTGTCACGATTTAGAAATGCGTCCCCTTCTTCCCAACTGCTAATGTTTTAAAATGTTGCCTTACAGGTTCATTTAACACTTTCAGCTTCGTAAAATATGATTCTTGCATTAGCTGCATGCTAAATTACGAACAGCATTGAACGAGCTCACAAAGAGCCTTTGGCCCATTGAGCAAACCACAGCTCTGCCTGGAGTCGCTCGCCACGGTAATTTGATTCACCTAGACAGAGTGTGATGGAATTTAATAACCTGAACAGCGATGATGTGTGTCCGGAAAGAGGAAGGCAGCGAGTTTCTCCAGGAATCTGCAGGCGAGAATGAACCCACAGGAATGTTGAGCCCTGTGAGATAAAACACGGCTTCTCTCTCGCTACCAAAATTACATAAAGTTTGAACAATCACATACTGTGCTGAGCTCCATATGAACGTGGATATCTAATGTTTTGGAACCGAAAATCAAGAACTGGTAGCTATAGAAGTCTGTTTCCGCCATAAAATAAAAAAAAAAAGGAAAAATGTGACATTTTATTTATATTTCATAATTCTGACTGGTTTCTCACAATTCCGAGAGTTATAAACACAATTCTGAGAATAAAAACTCAGGATTGCAAGATCTGAACTCAGAATTCTGACTTTCTTTCTTGCATTTCTGAGTTTATATCTCACAATTCTTTTCTCAGAAATTTGAGTTTACATCTTGCAGTTCAGTTGTTGTTGTTTTTTTTGTTTGTTTTTTTTCAGTTGCACAGTTCAGATTTTTTTTTCCTGAGAATTGCAAGTTTATGTCTGAGTTTATATCCCGCAATTTTTTTTCAGGGAAAATAAAAAAAAATAAAATAAATGAACAATTCTGAGAAAAAAAAGTTTGAAATGTGAGCTAAAAAGTCAGTTTATGTAGAATATATAGAATAACAATTGATAGTCGCCTTGGATAAAAGCTTCTGTTAAATGAACAAATGTAAATGTTCACCCAAAACGAAAATCAAAATGAAAATCTGGCCATAATCTGGCCATAATTTACTCACCCTTGTGTCATTTCAAACACTCCTTTAGTCTATGAAACGCATTTTTAAAGTATATCATGGCTGGCCTTTTCCATGTCAAGCTACTGTACAAAAAAAAAAAAAAGATTCATAGAGTATCATAAAAGTGCTTCATACTGTATGACTCTACAGTAAAAAAAACAACATATGGTTCTCAAACGACATACGGGTGAGTGACAAAAGGTTCATTTTGGGGTGAACTATTCCTGCAACTGATCACGTTTAGTCACATTTTTGAGTTAGAACACAAGTTGTTTGTAATATATGCAATCTGTTGGATTTCACACCAACTGTGTGTCATGGAGAGATCCTGTTTTAAGGTTCTTTGAGGGGGAAGTGCGATAGATCTTCCTCAGATCCTCAGGAGACGTCGATATGTGCTGGATGCTACTGTGAATATTTCCGGCTCAGTACCAAGTGATGCCAAACACAAGTCTAAAGCAGCTCTGGGCAGAGATGCATACACTGATCTATTGTTTCCTAGTTTAAATAATGAATTTTCCACCAAGCTGGGAACTCTGTTATAGTTTAGCTATTCTGTACAACAAATATGCCCATTTATTTTTCAGCTTCAGGCAAAATAGCCAACAGATAGGGTCCAAAATTAACTTTACGGGTCACCTGCCAATGCTGAGTGAATTCAGAAAATTTACCGGCAATGAAACTAGAATGATTTAGTATAGATTTCTGCTTAGCACAGCAATTTTGTGACAAACAGAGCAGCGTCACATACAAAACATGGCAAATATCTCTGTGAAATTGCACTCATTGTTACTCATTGCAGATTCCTTTCCAAGGCCAGTGTGGATGTTTTTACTTTTCTCTGGAAAGTTTTGCTAACTCTATTCCCCCTCAAGCATTCATGTGTCTCTGTGATAAGGCTTAAAGATTGGACAGGTGGAACATTGTGCAATCAGTGAGCGCTAGTGAATGAAAATGTAAAGATTCCCATTAAAAAAAGTACTGTTTTTTTTTTTTTAATAAATAAAGTTAAAAAATTTTTTTTCAATGCTTTATTTTTTATTATTTCAAAGGTAAAAGTGGGCAGTCATATTTGAATTTACAATAACGATTTACCGGCAGTAGTAACAGTTATAATAAACTGTTAAATAAAACAACAGTGGAAAGTGCTGAGATATATACAGTCAAGCCAAAAATTATTCAGACACCAGATATAATTTTTGATACATTTTTTTACTAGTGGGTACAGGACACTATAGTTAATTTATGTAAGTGAGGATAGCAAAATAAAGTAAACTGTGACATATAATACCCAAAAATTTCTTCATACAGTGGCCTACCAGTAAAATTTATAAACATTTGGGACAGAAATTATTCAGACACTTTGACCTGACCATGTTTTGTTTAAGTGTTTTTCTTTCATTGCTAATGTTCTGACATTATCAAGATTAATTTATTCTGACACAGTTTAACTCTGAATTATTGTCATATTTTATTGCCATATTCTAAACTAGTGTGTGTGTGTGTGTGTGTGTGTGTGTGAGTGTGTGTGTAATCTATGAAAAATAATATTTTGCATTATGTTATCCTTCAAATCATCTACAGAAGAGATAAGAATGCCACTGATCATTTTCCTAGTAGACACGAATTGGGTTGTATGGGGTTTTCAGGACAGCGTGGGCGAATGAAAATGGGAAAAAAGTGGAGTTGCAGATTCAGCTCCGTCTGTTTTTTTGGAACGCATCATTGGTTTTTCGTGTGGCTGCAATATGAACAAAGTAATCAGCTGCATCACGCTGAAGAGCTGCTTGTTCTGTAAGTCTGAGGATGTGTACAGTCACAGTTGATTAAGCTTTCTAAGTGTCCTGGCCAATTAAATTCCTCCATTCAGCAAGACACGTTTCTGAGCTGTCGGTTTCTGTGAATAGTTTATCTGTGCGTGAAACATTAACCTCCCCCAACAGGTATGCCAAAGTTGATCCTATCCAAAAACCTCCCACGGCTCTTCCAAATATGTAAATGCTATTGCTGACATTCGATCATGTAATTTCTTGCCTCCCAAAATGCCCAGAAATTTCCCTCCGGTACTTGTGCTTCTGAATCGAGTCGAGATAAACTGTTGACACACGCACGGCATACAAATATGACAGTAGATGGAATTATACAGATGACCTGTCACATATAACGTGGGGTTCAATGTAAGTGTGATTGAAACTATATTTCCATGTTTATCTTTCGCAAGAGTGACAGAGCAAGAGAAGGAGACAGAACACACAACTAGAAGTGTCAGAGGATATGTTTAGAATGACATAATACATACTATTTTTGAAAGACAGCAGAGTATGTCTGCACAGTTTTCTGTATGCATGGAATAACTGGATGACAAAATATATTTGCAGAAGACACACCATATAATGCTATATCTCAATGCAATTTGCTCAGTTTGACCTTTCGTTTCCAGTGTTACCGTATCTATTACATTTTACAGTGTCATTCTTGACTCATTATTTGCTCAGACGGTGACATCTCTAAACAAAATTTGCTGTAAATTTATCCATACTTATTTCCGAGAAGACAAGTGGACACGCTTACTGGATTAACCATAAAACGTAATGAGATCTCAGTATGACACACTACTATTTGAAATGTCTTATACTGCATACTGTTTCACAAAATTAAAAGATTCTGTTAGAATATATGATATAAATCATGCTGAATAGCATAGATTTATAGTTTATAGTGTCCAAATAGCATGTATTTCAAACACTAAGTAATGAAATGTTAATTAATTATTCATTTTTAATAAAACCTGAACTCAGTTTATGATGATATACACTACCATTAAAAAGTTTGGGGTTGGTTTTCAAATAACTGTTTCCTTTTTTAATATATTTTAAAATGCAATTTATTCCTGTGATGCAAAGCTGAATTTTCAGCATCATTACTCCAGTTTTTAGTCACATGATCCTTCAGAAATCATTTTAATGTGCTGATTTGGAGAATTTCAAGAATAATTTCTTCTTATTATTATTATTAGTAGTAGTAGTAGTAGTATTAAGGTTATAAACAGTTGTTCTGCTTAACATTTTTGTGATTTGTTTTCAGTGATTTGTTTTGTGATTCTTTGAAAATAAAGTTAAAAAGAACAGCATTTGTTGGAAATCTTTTGTAAGAATATAAATGTATTTACTGTCCCTTTTGAAAAAAAAAAAAAACTTACTGACCCCAAACTTCAGAAATCATTTTAATGTGCTGATTTGGAGAATTTCAAGAATAATTTCTTCTTATTATTATTATTAGTAGTAGTAGTAGTAGTATTAAGGTTATAAACAGTTGTTCTGCTTAACATTTTTGTGATTTGTTTTCAGGATTCTTTGAAAATAAAGTTAAAAAGAACAGCATTTGTTGGAAATCTTTTGTAAGAATATAAATGTATTTACCGTCACTTTTGAAAAAAAAAAAAAACTTACTGACCCCAAACTTTTGAACAATAGTGTAATTTTCAATGGATATCCTTCTATTAAATTGGTAATTCATTCCAAATACATCCAAACAAACCTGATGACCCGAACTGGATTACATGTACGTACCAGAAATGTCTGTGTGAGTATAAAGTCATTTTGTCCATGTACAGTGAGGGTGCGAATGAGAAATGCCGGGCTCATGCTGTG